ATTTGCAAAGCCTGCTTTTCAAGATATTTAGCTAAGTAAATCCTTTAAATACCATGAAGAAATTATATAATAAAGTAGTATTAGTTTACCTACTAAATAATTGCATGATATAACTAGGTTACCTCCCTTTAAAGAAGCTGTTTAAATAATCCCACTGTTAGCTCATGTAAAAGGACACACTTTTAAAATGCATCCCACAATTCTCCCCAAAAATGGTCTTTAGTGGAGTTAGCATAGCTATGAAAAAAAACTTGATGCAGACCTGGTGATGGTAATCCCTCCATACAGTGTATATACCACCAATAAAGGATACATGCTACACCCAAAGACAAGAACAGTTTAAAAAAAAAAAAATCAGTCCTTTTCTAGCAAGTGAAACTATTATTAATATGCTGGACAGGCAATTACTATGGGTGAAAATTCCAGAAGTTTTTACCTGATGCTTCCATTGAACAACTTGAGCAAAGATTCCTTAACATGATCTTTAGCTTTAATCAGGCCTATTTTTGTCCATCTGCTTGGAAGCTCTTCATTAGCATCTACTAATGCCTTGAACATGTGTATATTTCCATCAAAATGAACTCCTTTAATTAATTCCACCCAGAAACCTACTTACTGGACTATGGGCTATGATGAGATACATTTAAAGCTATTCCACTAATAATTATTAATTCCCTGTACCGTAGAATTCTTATTTACTAAGCTTTCATATCACTTACAGAAATAATAAACACTATTTGCCCATGATACAGCTTTCTTTGTAGACAAAATAAACAAAGTAGGAAAGTTACCACATAGTGCAGCCTGACCATTAAATAACCAGTTCTGTTCTGTCCTGTTCTGACCAGCCCTGGATAATTACGAGGCATGTGTGAGGGATCTGCTAGAGAATGGCTGCAGTAGGGTATTTAGTTTTTGTGAAAAGCAGTGAAGATGTAGAAAAGCAAGATAATTAGAAAGGTCTCTAGTGCTGAATATGGTCAAGGGAACCCATGTAGTAAATAAAAGGAGTTTATATTGAACTGTTTAGTTATGTTTGAGAAGTAAATTGTGCTGTGAGATAGGAACATCAAAAGACATTTTCTAAACAATTTGGGGAACATACCACAGCATGGTAAGCCATGCAACGCAACCATCGGTTTGTAGGGAGGTGTGCAGAACAGACAACAGAATCCCCCAGTAGCTTTAGAGGGGAAAAAAATGCCACATTCTGAAGAAACATCTTTTCTGTTGCCTTCTGTGGACTGCAGACAATGATAGAACATGCTCTCTTAATTACATTGTCAGATACAGATAGTACATAGGTGCTTGGTGTATAAAATACTGGAGATGACAGGAAAAGTGTAAAAATTTAGTAGCTTTTACGAAGACCTTGAATACTCCATTTAAATCCACAATAACTGTTGGGATTTGACTCTAAATCAAAAAGATTACTATATTGTTAAAAATGGGAAGGTAGAACATATGAGTAATATTAAATGTATGTTTGAAAACTGAGACATAGTATTTAGTGGCAATATTACATTTTTTCTCTCTCTCTATAGATAATCTCCGGTTCTTTCAGGCTGGAAAGAAAACTCGGTATTATGAGACATAACTGCCTTTTATTCACATAGAGTAGTTGTGTCCCAGCACATAAAATGTTGTGAAAAAATGGAAGTACTGACCCAAGAAGTTCTGTATGATACTATTAGGATTATTCTATGAAAAAAACAGGCCATAGGCATTTTGCTTGCCAGCAATATTGAGAAATTACCGCTAGATGCAAAGTTTAGATAACAGTTGCACTAATAACCACATCTTGTACCAGGTAAGACTACAGATCGGTATTTTAAAAGCAAAGGGGAAAAAAATAATCCATTATTAAACTAATTGCCATGTATATTGGCTACTTCATATATCAGCTATCTGTTTTGCTTTGATTCGTTTTTCCTGTGGGAAAAGCCCAAAATCAAGAAAAGGGATTTCTTCGTACTTATTTTTTAACATCATCCTCTGAAGTAATCCTGTGCAATTTTTTCATACATGTGCTGTTTCTAGAAGACATGAACGGGGCATAAATGCTGTTTTCTTACTGTTCTGTTAAAACCTGAAAGTAAAAAATCATTTGGAGAAGATAAACCTAGTTGTGATCTAGAATCATAAACTAAGTGGTCAAAATACAGAAAGTGGTGAAAACACAGCTCACCTGAATTAGTTAACTGCTTCAAAAAGCGAAAATGCTTGTAACAGAAAAAGTAACACATTGGAAAATATAAACCTCAAAAGCTTATTGATGTTTTGATTCCTAAGTATTAGGGGAGCATGGCCTGGAATAAATTAAAATCCCTAAAGAGTTGTTCGGATTAAAACTATTATTCAGTTTATTTCTGGATCTTTAATGAAGAAAGTGCCTTGACACAAGTAGACTCCATACTTTTAATGTATCATTTAATAATGATATACCTCATCTAGCTCTAGTGCATTAGGTTTTAAATTAGAGCTAGACATAGTAAGGAAAGTTGAACTATAGGTCTGCTGTGACTAGAGAGATAATTACTTTTCTAACTTATGCAACATGAAAACTTTTTTTTAAACAATAGGTGGGAAGCTGTCAGCTTCCTCTTCCTATAAATAAGTACAGGCGAAATGTGTAAGTTGACTTAAAATTGAAAAGTATATAGCCTATTAGTGAACTCTTTTGCAGCCATCTCACAGCTGGTTAAAAACAAAACGCAGCTGTAGCCATAGAACATTAACCTTGCTGAAGCTGTAATCCTTATCCATTTATAGAAATGTTCAGAATTAGCTGTGCTTTTAACATTTGTGATACTGTTCATGATTGTAACATGAAATGTCACTTTGTTTTAATGGCTGATATAGGATATTTTAATGTACCTTCAAATCACTAACATAAATTTTGTGTAAATATGATAGTAACTTCTTGTGACTTAATTTACAGAAACACTATAGAATGTACAATTATTGCCTCTAACAGGCCAGGAAATTATTGTTTTAGATTAAATAAAGCTTTAGCAAACAAATATTTCCTGGAATTATCTTATCAGTGAGTGGATTTTCTCTGGCTTTAGGTTTGCAAATAATTCATATTTATTAAGTAAAGAGAGTATTTTTTAGAAAGTGAGGTTATTTTGTCAATAGGGAATATCTATTCGTATGCAAATAATGCTCTTCATTGATTTTGATGGCTTAGTAGTTATTACTTCTAATCCTATTTCCCTACCTGTTCAGATAAGCTATATACACTGTCATTTTCTTTTTATTATTTACCACATTCTCATGCACTGTAAACAATCTTGGACTGACTTCCTTCTGAAGATAAATTTGGGGATTTTTTAAATTCCTACACATAAATAGATTCCAACTAAAGCTGCAAAAAGGGGTAGGAGAGTAAAAACTGACTGTGGTGATGATTCTGATCGGGAAGAGACACAAGACAATTTGAAGAAAGTTTACAGCTCGACAGGAGTAGTGAAAGGATTGTGGTATGTTTTCTGCAGTAGAGTGGTTGTGCTAATGATATAGAATTGTTGGATGAAAAGACGAGGAATGTACTACTTAGCAGCATGCTTCCTGTTTGTGGTTAAATACTGTATGTTTTCTCTCGTGGTAGTATACAGAACAATTCCTTTTTTCTTTTTTTTTTTCCTCCCCAGTGCAATTAGGACAAAGATTTCAACCTTGCCAACTTGCTTCAATACTAGAAACCTGGAGAATAGCACATTTCTCAAAGACTGAAATAGCTGGTTTGGTGACCAGTTGACTACAGCTAACAGAACTACTGTTACTGAGCAGAAGCCTGTGCCTTCTCTGGCAAATGGAAATTCTATCACTGAATTTATAAAATCTCTGAAGCCCAGAACCCTTTTCTCTTTCAGATATACTTGGAGCATGTGTCTTCTGGAACCTTGCACAATTGTTTTTTTAATATGTGTAGAGGGAGGGTGCTAGAGGGGTAAGTTCTTACTGGATCAGCCAGTCACCTTCAAAGGTCTGTTTTGTTCAAATTCAGATATAAAATAGTACATGTTCTGGGGAAGCTCAAAATATCTCATGTCTATCAGTCTATGATCATTTTGCTGTAAGATAATTGTGTGACTTTTTTTTTTTTACAGATGTACATTTGCAGTTTTCTGTCACTGTTAGCTGTTGTGGTTATGTGACTGAATGTGACTGAGATTACAGGCAAAACCACAAGGAGAAATGTTAGCATCTACATAGCAGTGGCCTTTCGTAGTTACATATTTTTAATGTTGTGAAATTATTTTTGTAAAATGCATAGTTTTAAAATACATATTCTTCAGGGATGAAGCCAAGTTAAGAACGGTTTGTACAACTACTAGTTTCCACCCTCAGGCCACTATGTTGCTCTCAGAGACCAACCAAAATACTGCATTGCAAACTGACTGCCAAAATGATCTGAGGTTTTTCTGGTTGCCTTAAGCAGAGTTGTGGTTTTCTGGTTTTTTGTTTTGGTGTGAAGGGGCTTTTCCATTTAAATTTTCCTAATTGGGATAGTTGCATTATTTCAGCTCACTCCTTTTGCTTAGAATTGCCTGCAGAGTTTATATGGTCATAGGTCTTCGGTTCATACATAGAATATTTGTTTCTTGGTCCTGGAAACTGGGGAGAAAAAAAAAAACTAAAATGCTGAAGTACGACTAAAAACATTTTAAAAAACAACATAGTAGGCTTTAACTTCTCTTGAGGAGGCTGTGAAGTAGATCTAATGATGCTTGATTCATAGTAATCTATTCAAAAGCACGTCTCCAGAAAATCCTGTAGCAATGTTTTGTACAACTCAAACAACAATTTTATGTCACAGCTGAGCACTCTATGTGGAGACTTGCAAAATATTTGTAAGTCAGAGTTAAAAAAACAGTGGCAACTCTGCTAACCAACCAGCCATTTGTCCCAGGAGAGCAGGCAAACGGTAGGAGGAAAAGAGGAACTAAGAGTACTTGTGGGGTAGCTCTTTCATCACATGATGTAGCTATAGCCTGATGGTTGCACATCTTTTCTCCATCACTTAGACAATGTACTGTTATTATTGCGTACCGGCACTAAAAATAGTAAATGTTTTGTGTTTTCTTCTCAATGTAATGTGCATAGTCCCTAAACATGACTTCAGTGCTTTTTTCCTGTTTTAAGATCATTAATGTGATCAGAGTTTTACACCATCAAAAACTAAATTAACTCAATGCCTGAACATACATTTGCTCAATTTTCTTGAGTTTTGCCATGTGCACTTGTTTTCAGTCATACTGCAAAATATTTTTGTAATGTTCTGCCTGCTGCTGTTGAATCTTAGACGTCAGTCCAATGTAAAAGCTTTACTGAAGAAGACTTGGCTAAAGAAGTATGAGTAGTATTGTGGCAAATTCTGAAAATTCAAATAAAAAAAGCTCTTGAGTACTTAAGAGTTATGCTGAACAAATAGTGCTACAGAGTTTGGATTAAAAACTCTTACATTTGTGCAGAGACGTCAGCCAGTTAGAAATTATTTTCTCCGACTCTGGAATGACTGACCTTTCTGCTCCAGTTATGGGTGCTGCTTAATACAGACAAATAAAGACAGCACAGAAAAACAGAACAGCCATTAGGGCTAGCTGAAGAGAAGAAAAAAACAGATCTGAGCATTTCTTTTTAACTGAAACTGGCAAATTGTTAAACTGTTGCTGTAGAATGATGCACTATAAATTATAAACTGACGTAGTTGGAAATAACATTACATTGCCTGTCACTGCAAGTAAGTGATTAAATTAATGAATACTTGATTAATTTCATAATTTCTAAGTTATGTGTGGTTAAGATAGCATAAACTATGCCCAAATATTTACTGTTAAAATCAGCAAAATGAAATAAAAGGAAAACTTGTAATAAAAAGAAGAGGTGCATCCCAAAGGAAAGTTTAGAACTGAGCAGCTTGACAGAGCTGGTCTATTTTATAACCTACTAACTTCTGCTGCAAAGATTCTACTTCAATTTTAAGACCCCTACAAGTTTTTGAGCTGTCATTTTATTTGAAAGCTGGCATTGTCAGATTTTATCAACAGGTTTCCACTGTTGAATTTAAAAAAAAATTAAGTTTCATCCAGTACTCAGGTAAGCCTCAGAGAGTCACAAAAAATGCAGACAGCTACTTGAATCTCAGGCATGCTTTAACTACGTGCGTATTAGACACAGATGGGAAAATTCACTGTACTGGTCTTGCTTGCCTTTTGAAAAAGAACAAGCCCACTGTGGAAGCAGTGCTGAGTTGGGACCCTTTTCTAGAGGGCAACCAAGTAATACGTTTGTATCTCAATTTGGACTCCAAAGATTTGTGCATTGCCCTTGTCCCACCAAAACAACAGATGATGATTGTTTTCATGACTGTTTTCTCAGTATAATTTAACAAGCATAGCTTCAGCTATAACAACATAAAATCTGTATTCTTCTCTTTTTAAAATAACAATTATATTAATATGAAGACATCTGTCAACATGAGGCCTCTAATAATCAGGCATGTGATCCTTGTTTCCACTATCCACACCAACACATCCATGCTGAGAGATGTTCAGTTTATACAGTGAGGCTCTGCCAAAGGGATTCTCTAATCCAGCAACTGGTTGAAATAAAAGGCTGAAGCAATTTCTTTCACTGTTGTGAACCATGAGCACATGTAGATGACTCAGATATTGGGAACTAGAGTTCTCAAATTTGAGAGAAAAAAAATTTAAGTCTTTTGTTTGTGGTAACGATAGCTCAATTTTAGTTAAAACATCACAGTTATCCCTTGTGTCTCGTGCGTTTCCAAAATAAAATACAGGGACACATCGTAAGTCAGAGCCACCTCATGAGGAAACCTTCCGTGTGTGAAGTGTCTGGGCACTCCGCACATGGGGCCCAGCTCCTGCTGCGTGAAGCGGATCAGACGGAGACGAGGCTTTTCTCGAAAAAACGTACTGCCACGGCCATCGCCGGCCGTCCCGCTTTCTCGAAAGCCCGAACTACCACAGCCGGCTCCGGCCGCCTCAGCTCTCCGCCCTCCCACGGACCAGCCAACTCCGTCTGAAAGCAGACGGCCAAGCACCAGTCTCGGCCTTTTCTCCTCCCAGCAACCCGTTTTGAGGAACGACTCAGCTGGGATAAATCCACCTACACGCCAGCTCTGTGCTGCCAAGGCCAGGGCCGGCCAGTTCTGTTTCACACTTCACCTTTCCAGTGGGCGTTTCTGTTCAAAACCCCCGAGTTCCGCCATTTCCTGGAGAGGCACCGCCAACCCTCCTCAGCTCCCGCCCTTCGGGCGGCGTACCGCTGCCTCCGCTTTCCTAAACAGCGCATGCGCAGCGCGCTGGCACATGCGCGATAACGCCGGCCGGGCGGCGCGCATGCGTGGAGGCGTTCGGCGTCTCTGAGGCGGTGGATTGGGAGGAGGCGGCGGGGCAGCAGGACCAGGAACTGCGCCAGCTGCGGCTGGGAGGGGACGGGGAGACGCCCGGTGGTGCGTGTCGGTCCTATGGGGCCTTGAGGATACAGCCCCGGTGAGAGAGGGGGTTTCTGCTGGGGCGCAGAGCCGGTGGGAGGATGGAGGGTCAGGCGGCTCCGGGCGCTGGCGGCGGCGAGGAGCCCCTGAGCTCTGGCAGGATGAACCCGAAGCGAAGTGGGCGCGCCGCGGGAAGAGGAGAGCCGGAACAAGCCCAAGCTGGTGAGCGAGCTGTGGGGCTGGGAGGAGGGCAGGGGACGGCCTGCGGACGAGGAGGAAGGCGGGGGAGGAGGAGGCTCGGATGCCGCCTTACTGCTTCCCAAGTAGAGAATCTGGGGCGGAGGGGCGTGCGGCCGGGCGTGGGGGGTGCCGGGCTTTCAGGAATTAAAGGATCTTTTATAAAAATCCCTTGAGCTTCCGTGAGGGTTTTTGGGTGCTCTTTGGGGGAGGGAGGTGGCAGCTGGAGGGGGGCGTGCGGCGCGCTGAGGGCCTCGCTGTGGTAACGCACCGGGGGTGGTCGCTGACAGGAGCCGGGAATTCCCATGTTTTCCGTGAGGGGTGTGATTCGGGGTGTTGCTTGGGCCATCCCTTTGGGGAGAGGTGCCGTAACAGTGGTGTTCTGCAAGCAGGACCTGTTGGTGTAACCTCTATTCTGCTCACCTTTTGAGTGAAAGATCACAGGGTTGGGTTTTTTTTTTTTCTGTGTTGAAGCATCCAGAATATTGGTGGTTATGATGCAAACGATCCCAAGAGAATTTCTGAATTAATGTGAAAATAGTTTAAAAATTTGGAAATTGTCCAGTCTTTTTGGAAAGATCCGACAAGCTTTTGAGCACACAAACCCTCTTTAGGACTGTAGAGTTTGTTCATTATGCCTGTGCTTTTTGCTTTAAAAGAACATATTTCTACTTACAAACCTGATAACTTGAAACAGGTACGTTTCAAAGCCAATAGCACTGGATTGTATCTCACTATATAAATGCAGTAGCAGCAAAACCAGATAATATGACAGTGTTTACTTTTAATTGTTTACTTCTGTTGCACTTATTTGTTTTAACTTTGAATCGACTCACTTTAGCTCAGTTCTCTGATGGATTTTCAAGAGCAGCAGTGTAGCGGACGCTTAAAACTTACTTGACTTTTCTTATTGAATAGAATACTAGTTGCAAACTTTATTTAACCTGTGCAAGGTTTTTCACAGAGAGTGGTAAAACTAAGTCAGTATGTACGTGTTCCCACCTCGTGTTCCTTTCATCGAGTATAGTGCAGCAGAGCCTTGGGCTGATCAGCCTGACAACCGTGGGGGTTTTTTGTCACTGAAAACTAAGTTAGAATGCACGTGGGAAAGATGTTAAATTTGTAATGTATGAGGCATTAAAAAGTTACTGAAAGTGACAATTATTTAAAAGAATGACAGAATGCAATACTGAATAACTTGAAGTGTACTTGTATTAAAAGTGACCATGTATATCTTAGCAAATGGTAACCAAATATGATGTCTTCTTTTGTTTTATGGTGTTATTGGAAACAAACTCATGCTTCTTTGCACAGAATTAATATAAATGAACTTCTTCATATAAACAGGATGTTTGTTTATGTTTATACTACCTTTACTATTTCCTAACTAAAGTAGCTAGGAAGGCTGCTTGAAGATGGCTGCAGGGAAGTGATTTAAAAATCACACAGGAAAGTGCTTCTATTAGAAGCTGAGGACACAAATTTGAATTTTGCTCTAGCAGAGAACACTCTGTTCTGGAAGATACGCATAATTTAAAAAAATCAAAGTGAAATGAGCTCAAAATTGGATTGAACAGGACAACTATTTTCGTTGCATGTTCTTTTCACTCTAGAATCACTAGAGTAGGCTTTTATTGTTACATTTTGTGGAAAAAGTACGTTATATTAATATTTGACTTTGTATGCAGTCATATGCTTTTGTTTCTTGAGAGAGTGATTACAGTCCAGCAGCAACAAGGATCAGAGTAGTGGTATGTTGCTTGAATCAGATACCTTCTGAAAGATAGTTTTGCCCTGAGATAAAGTCACTAGCCTCTGATGATATAATCGAGTGGATGGGTTGAATGGGAAAGTAGATTTTTTTTTTTTCCATTCTGGACATGATGTACACAAATGGTGTATAAAACTGACATGAAGAAGGATTTACCTCCGAGGAAGAAAAGGGACAGGATTCAGGTGTGTTTTAAGTTGAGGCGGTGTGAGTGGACAGCCAGGTGTATCAATGACTGCCATGGGTTTGCGAGGGAAGAACAAAACTGTAATCAGGGAAAGGCTTCATCCATTACATAGGAGAATAATCTTACTAAATTTTGCTGGCTTTAATTTTGAGTGAGGAATTGGTTCTGCTGAGGCTAGAAATATCTTTAGGTACTCAAGAGAGCAGCCTTATTTGTACCTCATCCCTGCTCTCTTCACTGTGCAAATAAGATGAAAGCGTATTTGGGACTTCTGTAAGAGAAGCCACGCTATTTATGCAAGTGTTAAGTTGTCACTGAGTTTGTATACAAAGCTTCTCAGAGTTTGGTGTGGAGATTTTCTTGATTCAGCTTCAGAACTTATAATTCATCAAGTTTCAGTAGAGTTATAGAGATGAATCAATCTGCACTCTCTGTTGTGTATAATCCAAGGAACTGTACAGTGTGCTGAGAGGAGTGTGTCTCTTTTCCAGAACTTATTTCACACATCAAGTGGAGTGCTGAACAAGGGCTTGGTGGGAGAGGGTGTGCAACTACATATAACAGAAGATTTATTTTTAGTTCCTGGCATAGCAGCTGAAATTAGGCAAGTCATTGGGAAGAAGTCTAGGGAAATGATTTTCATATGAGAGACTAAAAATTGCTCTAGATGACAGGGAGCTGGGAAAGCTGAAGTCATTATTTTGGGGGAAGGGAGACTCTAGAAGAAGAAGGAGGTGGAAATTTGTTCTTTCCCCATCCCCTCCATCTGAAAGTAAAAGGTGGGCAATGGTGCTTGGCTGGCAGAAGCATAGTGGTTTGGTGTGGTTTTTTTGTTTTGTTTTGTTTTGGGTTTTTTAAGGACTGAAGCCTGATCGATGGCATTTATTCCTGACTGACAGGAA